ATAAGTGTCGAAATAAATAAATACATCAAAGTAAAATACTTCTTTACGAAAATTGAATTGAAAATTAAAGTGATTCAAAACTGAGTTTTTGTATGCCTTCAGCCATATGACTGTATTGCTAAGGGTATCAAATATGATGATACAGCCAAAAACGTGCCTAATTGAAATAAGAGTTTTAGACCCTAAGTCTCTTTGGACCAAATCGGTTTCAGGACATTTGGAGTCGATCAAGCGATGTCCGTCCGTACGTCTGTCTGTCTGGCTGGTGCGCACGATAACTCTCGAAGGGAGTATCTGATTTAGTCAAAATTTGGTACATCGTAATATTCGGAGATGGGCAATATCGGTGCACTCGTTCTGGTACCTCACCCACAGAAGGTCGAAATTTTCAAAACAAAAAAATATTTTCTGCGATTTAGCTCCAAATCCTAATATTTACATCAGCCCTAGGTAAGGTTCAAAAATTGACAATATCGGTCTACTCCATCGAGCACCTCCACCGCTAAGGGTCAAAATTTTGAATAATTATAACTCATATCAAATGTTATTTAAGAGATCGATTGTCTTCACATTTCACACATTCCATTATTTGTACTAACACAAGATCTGCTGTGATAATAGGATATATCGGTTCACTCCTTCTGGTAACTCCCCCACAAAGGGTCAACATTATGAATATCCATGAAGCTCATAAAACAAGAAATTAACATCCGATTCCATTAAGACTTGGTACATCTCAATATTTGCATCAACACAAGATCTTTATCTATAAAACAGGAAAATGTTTGTATGTTTGTTTGTAATTTATGGACTCGAAAGCCGCTGCACAGATTTCCCTTAAAATGTCCAAGTATACTACAATATCGCCTGAAAGTAACATAGGCCATATACATTTTTGAAATTCCACTTGGAACAGGAGATATAGCATCAGAATCGAAGGTACCTCCCAAAAATTTAAATTTTATATGTACATATCTATTGATCGATTATTAACACAGCGTGACGGAATTTGGAACTTAAATAAATTTGCCAAATTATATTGAAAGTGGTTCAGATTTGGATATAGCTCCCATATAATTTGTCGACCTATTTCGTTTATTTAATGCACCAAACACGAAATGTATGTTCGATTCCAATGAAATTTGGATTGAGTGACGGAATTTGAAACTAAAATATATTTGCCAAATTATATTGAAATCGGTTCAGATTTGGATATAGCTCCCACATCTATTTCCGACCGATTTTGTTTATTTTATGCACCAAACACGATACGACTAAATTTGGTACATAAATATTTTTTTTTTCAAATTCCAAATCTGAACCGATTTGTATGTAGCTCCCATATATATTTTCGGCCGATTTTACATATTTGATGCACCCAACGCGATATGTATGTCCCATTCCAATAAAATCGGTTGAGGTTTGGGTATAGCTCCCATATATATATATATATATATATATATATATATATATATATATATATATATATATATATATATATATATATATATATATATATGTATCAAATATATTTGAAAAAAATATTTAAAATATTTATGTACCAAATATATATATATATATATATATATATATATATATATATATATATATATATATATATATATATATATATATATATATATATATATATATATATATATATATATATATATATATATATATATTTATGTCGAGTTCACGCTATGTATCTCCAATTTCAATGAAAGTTGAAATGTGTATCGGAATTTGAAACGAACATACATTAGCCAAATTATATTGAAATCGGTTCAGATTTGGATATAGCTACCATATATATTTTTGGCCGATTTCGTTTATTTGATACACCAAACAAGATATGTATGTATGTTTGATTCAAATGAAATTTGTAATGTGTGACGGAATTTAATCAGAAGATACATTTGTCAAATTTTAAATATTTTTATCTGTCATAACTTGCGAAACAAGTCAGCGATTCTTTACAACTTGCTATATCCAAATATTTCTCTCAACCAGAAACCTGAGATGAATATGGAATTTATGGTTTCGAATAATGTGGGATTTAAACCGCGGATCTCGGTGTGCAGCCAACTAGAAGTTGCCGTCTCAACGTTCAGAGCCATCAACCCGTCTTCCTGAAGCAGCACTAAAACAAGTGTATGCATTGGAAGCAATGCAGTTGTTGTGGACAAAAAATCCATCACTACAAGAACAAACTTTGCTGTGAAAAATATCTGCTAATAGAACTTGAGTCGAACTTGGAGAGTTTTGTGTTTAATTCGTATATGCTAAATCGCAATAAGTTCGAAAAAAATACTGTTTTCCAGAGAACGGCCCTTGTAAGCCATCATCCACACCAAATATGCCTGATGAGGCGCTGAACCAACGGTGAAACGCGTCGCATTTTCACTGCAAATTTCAGATCATTAAGCTCGTCTCGAAAGAGAAACAAACACATAAATCATAAACATATGATCTTCGCCTTAACAAGGCAAAACTCAAGAATTGAATATAAATGTTCGATTTTCTTGTAATTTTGTCCATATCAATATTATTATCTCTATTAGATGAAGTATGAAAATGGAATACTTCGGTATATATGGCAACACACTCACATTTCAACGTTTTTTAAAAATTATCACATATCTCATATAAAGGGAAGGAAGTAGTCGATATAAAATATGATTTTTGGCCTTGAAAATATCACGATGAACGATTTGTTTTTGTTGAGCGAATTTTTGTTCACAGGAGGATTGGCATGAGTTGGTTTCAACATGACGACGTTACTTGCCACACAGCGCAAGCTACATTCGATTTTCCAGTAGTAAACAGATTTGGACGGGTGCATTAGCATTAGTTTTTTTACCCTCCTCCATTCATTCTAAGGAGGGTATATTAGCTTTGTCATTTCGTTTGTAACTTCGCGAAATATTCAAAATAGACCCCACAAAGTATATATATTCTGGATCAGCGTAAAATTCTAGGACGATCTAGCGATGTCCGTCTCTGTCAGTCTGTTGTAATCACGCTATCTTTCGAACGAATTGAGATAGAAGGCTAAAATTTTGCACCAGTAGACAGGTTAAGTTCGTAAATGGTTTATGTCGGTCCACGTTTTCGTAAAGCCCCCATATAACGATACCTCCCTATATTCGGTATTTTCATGATTTTGCGACATTATTTATCGGATTATTTAAAATTTCTTATTTAAAGTTCGTAATGGGTACCACAGCCTAAGACAAAACTTTTTGTATGCAGGTCCACGTCTTCGTATAGCTCCCATATAACGGTATCTTCCGATATTCGGTATTTTGATGATTTCGTATTTAAAGTTTGTAAAGGGTACTACTGACTATGATAAAAAAAAACAAGTAAACCAGTAAAGAAAGTCTTAAAGTCGGTCGGGGCCGACTTTATGATACCCTACACCACTTTCCTAATTTAGTAGAGCTGCGCATAACAATTAAAATCAATCATACACGCTATGATTATAATTATAATTTAAAGTTCAAAGGTCTAAATATGCCGAAGCATTTGTATCTTTTAAATTCGTACTTGTATTACCCATTTGGTGCACAATTAATTTGAAATCGGATAAAGACATATATGGGAGCTATATCCAAATCGGAACCGATCTCGATAAAATTTGGCAAAGATATTTCTGAGCTGTATTTGATATATTTTCCTGAATATCGTTGTTACGGAGTGCATATTACGGCTGTGGGCAACAAATATAACAAATCGGATGAACAGTATATATGGGAGATATAGCTATATCTGAACCGATCTTCACCAAATTTGACATACTAGCTTCTAGACCCAATTCTGTCGCAAGTGCCAAATTTCATCCCATTTGGGCAAATATTAGACGTTTGGTGTACAATCAAAGGTAAATCGGACGAAGTTATATATGGGAGCTATATCCAAATCTGAACCGATCTCGATAAAATTTAGCAAAGGTATTTCTGAGTTGCATTTAATATATTTCCCCAAATATTGTTGTTACAGAGTGCATTTTACGGCTGTGGAGAACAAAAATAACAAATCGGATGAACAATATATATGGGAGCTATAGCTATATCTGAACCGATTTCGATCAAATTTGGCATACTTATTTTCAGGCCTAATTTGGTTGTATGTGCAAAATTCCATACTATTCGTGCTGATATTACACGTTTGGTGCACAATAAAAGGCAAATCGGACGAAGATATATATGGGAGCTATATCTAGCTATTTTTTTTTTTTTGACATTTTTTAAGTTGCTTTGAAATGGTGGAGGGCATTAAAAATTCAGCCCGGCCGAACTTAGCTGCTTTTTTAATTGTTTGCACCCCCTTCGCTTAAAGTTAACTTGCATGCCAGACATACGGAAGGGCCTGATATATATGACATGGTTGAATCGACCCAAAAAGTGGGGTTCAAATCACTTATTGCAAAAAAAAAACAAATGTTTGCCTGAATTCATAAGTCACCATTCTTGGTTTGAACACATATTTTTTTCCGTAAAAACTTTTGTAGGAACATCTTTTAGCAGTAGTGCTTGACAAATTGTTTTCCCATTTTAGTGGCAAATATTCTACTAAGATAAGATTGCTGATCTATCTAATTGTCAGAAAAGTCAAAAAATATCTAAAAAACCTGTATCATCTAAAAGTGGAAGATGTTTTCATCTGAAATTGTTGCCATGCTAAATATCGCACCACTGCACGAGTTTTTCAATTTCAAGAGTGTCACTTTAAAATATGCCGTTACCAGTTTGTACAATTTAACACCTCCGGGAATTTCTATGCCGAATAAAACTATAACACTTTGAATATTATGCAAACTTATCCGACAACTGAAGTAACGTTATTACCCGCTTAAGTCAACTTTGTAGGCTGATTGTTTGCGTCAATTTTTAAAAAACACAAACACACGACGGACAACTTGTCAAATCAAACATTTATCCACCAATCCATCCATTCATCCGCCCTTCTTTCCTTCCTTCCTTCTTTCCACTTACCCAATAACAATATACTGGCAATCAATAAAATAATCCAAGGCATACGATCCGATGGCATTATTTCCGTTCCCGTCAAATATAATGCCACACATATTGGCCACATGAGTAGAGCGTTGAGAAAGCCCAGCGTTGTGAAGGCAAACGCAATTTGTCCAACCGGTGGATCGCCCATCACTTTGCGAAACATGACCTTGATTAAATATTAAACAAAGAACGGGACAGAGAGGACGAAACAAAAAGACAACAATAATTATACGAAAGAAAAAAAGAAACTACGTTAAAACAACAACAACGACGGAGAAAACAAAAAAATTAACAATTTAACCAGTCTAGCAAGTAGCTAGTCATCATCAATCGATGGCTAAATAAACATATGACTTGCTATGTGACCGATGGACTGATGACTGCCCAACTGACTGATTGCTATGACGGGATACCACAGATGTTAGGAATGTCAACATACTCGAAAGACGGCATAACAGGCGGCTGCCAAGGTGGCCAAAACCACCCCACTTAGTGTCGGACTTTCCGTAATACCATCCATGTACGCCAGCAATGCGATACCCGTATCACAGAGAATAACAGCAACAATCTGTTTGGGAAAAACACAAAAAAAAACAAAAACAAGAAAAAATTAGACACACAAATAATGTTTGTCATTAATACAATTATACACTATTAGGTTGTTGTTGTTGTTGTCGTTGTACTTGCATTAAATGTTACATTTTAATTTCAAAACAAGACAAGTGCCAAGCCCAATAACCGTTCACTTACCCTCACGCCCACAAACTGCTCGTGCAGTATCACCCAGGACAGCAGGTAAACGCATGCCACATTGGTGGCAAACAAGGCCATAGCATCGGTGGCAAATAAGACACGCAGAGATAACGTATAAAGGTAAGTGGTTAAAAGCCATAGTATACAAAATGATAGGCAGCGATTAAGAAAACGTCCTGCAAAAACAAAAAAGGGAAAAAAGACACACAAAGAGAATTTGGATAAGTAGTCTGTAATAACATGGTTGGGTGGTAAAATGATATGACTGATGACTGATTCATCAACGCCCAGGCCGCACGAAACGGCTAAAGCTAGAATCTTGAAATTTTGAGATAAAACTGGTTTTGGGAAATTCGGTAAAAATTCTATTTTGTAAATTCTAATTCTTGTGTGTACAGATAAAATCTTAATATTTGGTATAAAAATTAAGTTTGGAAAGAAATGTTGGCATAAGTAGTTTTTTTATATCCTCCAACAATCTATGGAGGGTATATTAACTTTGTCATTCCGTTTGTATCTCCTCGAAATGTTTATAATAGACCCTTCACAGTATATATATTCAGGATCAGGGTAAAATTCTAAGACGATCTAGCGATGTCCGTCAGTTTTTCCGTTTGTCTGTTGTAATCACGAGAACGAATATGGATAAACGACTACAATATTGCATGCATGCGTAGTTTACCCGTAGGCAGGTTAAGTTCGTAAATGGGCCATGTCGGTCCACGGTGCTACAGCCTATGACAAAAATTGTTATATGCTGCTCCACGTCTTCATATAGCCCCCATGATATGGTATATCCCGATATTCGGCATTTTTAAGATTTCAGCAACATTATTCACCGGAATCGTTTCAAATTTCGTATTGGGAGATCTTAATGGTCAGTACAACCTATGGAAAAAATTTTCGTATGCAGGTCCATGTCTTCGTTAGCCCCTATATAACGGTACCTCCCGATATTCGGTATTTTCATAATTTTTGCGAAATTATTCAAAGTAATTGTAACAAATTTCGTATTTAAAGTTCGTAATGGCTACTACAGCCTATGACAAAAAATTTCGTATACAGCTCCACGTCTTCATATAGTCCCCATGTAAAGGCTTTCATTTAAGTGGTAGTTTTTGGAATTTTATAAGTTCCTTCCAAATGGTGGAGGGTATTAAAGGTTCAGTCCGGCCGAACTTTGCTGCTTTTTTACTTTTTTTTTTTGAAAATGTGTACTGAGCGTAACAGCTGTACTAAGTACTACTAAATTCGGTAAAATTTGGTTGTGGTTGAACGGATTGATCGGGAAATTTAAAATATTGCTATTGGGGTCTCTGCTGGTGGGCAGGGTTCAGATAAAAATTTCGGTTTGGAAACTCGTTCAGCAAGCGTACTAAATGGTACCAAATTTGATGTAAAACACAGATACTGCTTGGAATTTAAAATTTCGCACAGAGATCATTGTTAGTGTGTGGGATTTAGATTTTGAGGTGGTTTGGAAATATATACTTTGGGAAAGTATACTAAATTTGGTATTTGGGTAAGGGATTGAATTGGAAGTCTAAAATTTGGAATTGGGATTACCTTTTGTGTGGTTTGGTTAATACATAGCGGAAGATTTGGAAATACGCATTCAAGAGTACAAAAAGTACTAAATAAACTTTGGTATTTGGGGAAGGAATAGATCTGTAAATCTGAAATTTGGAGTCTTCGAGGTTCTGTTGGATAGACAAACTAGATTTTTCTTTTTTTTTAAATTCTAACAAAAAATGCACCAAAAGTGCTACAATGAAATAAAAATGAAATAAAAAGGCGAAAATTTTCAAATTGCTACGAGAGTCTAGTCTGAGAAAATGGAATGGTATAAGGAGTTGGTTTTGGGATGGCGTACTAAGTGTATTAAATGGTACTAAATTTGGTACAGTTTAATTTTTGGGTGAAAGGATGAATCTAAAATGTTGCACTGGAATCCCTGTTTTTGGGAGGTTTGTGATAAAAAAAAAAGCGGAAATGTCACTAGAAGTGCACGAAAAGTTCAAAATAGTACCAAGTTCAGACTGCTGTCATTTACAAGCCACTCGTCCGACAGCTGTTAAAATTACTCCAGTGACAGCTCATTATATTGTTTACAAGCGTACAAAATCATTTTGTGAGAATTTACCACAAGTGGCTATCGTTAGAGCACTCCAGCAATTAAATGTGAATAAATCTTTTGTGTCTCGTACCCGAAGTCAAGGAAGTGGAAGGAAGAAAACAGCAACATCAGCAAAAATGGTTGGAAAGTAAAGAAGCGACTCGATCGCAACCCGCTTCGCAGTGGCCGAAAAATGGCTCGTGAGCTGAACATATCGCAATATTCCATTCAGCAAATATTGAAAAATGAGCTCGGGATAAAGCCATTGAAATTCCAAAAAGTGCAAGAACTAAAAAGTTGCTTCGCTTGGCCGAAAGTGGTGAACTGCCGAATTTGGTTTTCTCCGATGAGAAAACATTCGTTGTCCAGCTGTTTGTAAACTAACAAAATGATTGCGTTTCTTGCCAAGGAGGTCAGCTGAAAATGTGCACCTTCGGTTGGCCACCAGAATTTAAGCGCCAGCCATGGTGTGGGCAGCTATAACAGCCGATGGTCGCTCTCCGCTCGTATTAATCGACCGTGGCATCAGAATAAATGCCGAACATAATCGCGAAAATATTCTGGAGGGTGTATTAAAGCCTTGGGCACGCAAACATTTTGGCCGCAGACCTTGACATTCCAACAGGAATCAGGAAGAATGGTTACAAAATGAGGTTCATCGCTGCATTTCCAGCGCACAATGGCCACCAAAATCTCTGGATACCAATCCGTTGGACTATTGTGTCTGGAGTATTTTGGAAAGCAAGGTTGGCACTAAAAAATACCAAAGTGTCGATCACCTCAAGCAAGCGCTTCGCCGGGGATGGGCCAAAATACCACAGAACAGCATTTGGGCAGCGTGTGATGGTTTCATTGGCCGTTTGAAGGCCATAATTCGTGCCAAAGGTGATCAATTCGAACAAATCTAAACTTATTCTACAATTTGATGCGACATTCTGCTTCCATTCAATAAAATTAAATTTAAAATTTAAAAATTATGGCGTTTGACTTTGTTGTGGTTTCTTTTATCTCACCCTGTAAAGGGCTTGATATCTGAAGTTTGGAATTAGGGTCGTTGTGCAAGTGTAGCCTGGACATATGGAGGTTGTTTTCTGAAATATGTACTATTATTGCACGAAAAGTGCTGAATGGTGTATCGATGATGTATCGGGTGTAGGGATAGAGAAACAATTCTTAAATTGGATATTTAGATTACAGATCGCATCTGTATTTAAGATTTGGCGGCGGTATGCAAATGCGTCCTATATTTGTATGAATAATAAAAAATGGTACTAAATTTAGAATTGGGTGAGGGAAAATGACTGGAATCCTGAAATTTGATTTTGAAGTCCCTGTTGGTATCTGGAATTAAGATATGAAAGTGGTTTTGGAAAAGTGCATTATATTTTTTCGAAAAGTACTAATTTTGGGATCACTGCTGGTGTTCATGATGGTGAGATGTAGATTGTTTTGAATATGGGTACTAAATTTTGTATTGGTTGCAGGGATAGAGCTGAAGCTCAGATTTGTATACCCTACACCACAAGGTGGTCAGGGTATTATGTCTTTGTGTATTTGTTTGTAACAGGCAAAAGGAAACGAGATAGACCCATAGTTCCTTTTGATGATCTGCATAGAATCACATTTTTAGTCGATTTATGCATGTCCGTCTGTCCGTCTGTCCATGTATTTTTCTAAACAAAGTACAGTTCGCATTTATTGGCCTATCCAGATGAAATTTTGCACAAATCATTTGTTTGGCCCAAGGACGAACCCTATTGAAATTGGAGATAATCGGTCAAAATTTAGATATAGTTCCCATATATATCTTCGTCCGACTTGCCTTTTATTGTGCACCGAATTGTGCAGTCCGAATAGTATGGAATTTTGCACGTACGATCAGATTGGACCTTAAAATAAGTATGCCAAATTTGATCGAAATCGGTTTAGATATTGTTATAGCTCCCATATATATTGTTCATCCGATTTGTTGTTCCGCAGCCGTAATATGCACTCTGTAACAACAATATTTGGGGAAATATATCAAATACAGCTCAGAAATACATTTGATAAATTTTATCGAGATCGGTTCAGATTTGGATATAGCTCCCATATATAACTTCGTCCGATTTACTTTTTATTGTGCACCAAACGTCTAATATTTGCCCAAATGGGATGGAATTTGGCACTTGCGACAGAATTGAGTCTAGAAGCTAGTATGTCAAATTTGGTGAAGATCGGTTAAGATATAGCTATAGCTCCCATATATACTGTTCATCCGATTTATTAACAAGACACTTAATAAAAAGTCTTAGCTCTTATTGATAGCTCAATAACCCTTTTGTACGTTTGATATTGTACATAATCGACTTATACGAAGTTTGTATAAGATTCCCTATTTTCAAAATGTTGTAACAAAATGGACTTCTACTAAATTTCATAAAAATGTTCCGATATGAAAAATGTAATCTTTTGTGTGCGGATTCTGATTCTTTATATTTTTTCAATTTTTGGTTCACTAAAATCAAAATTTTAAATTAATAAAAATCAAAATTTTATTCCACTTACCTATAGTGAACCCCCGATCTCGGAATCCCCTCAAAATATCACCCAGGATCTCGCCTGGCTTATCACATTTTCTCAACGATATTCTCCCCAGTACATAGATGGGGAAAAACAACAGCGAGAAATTTGTGAAAAACCAAGCCGCAAAGAAGGGAGCACTAAAAATATTCGCCTGCTTTGGGGTTTCTGGTGGTATACTGAATATTTTTGTGGCATCCTCAACATCCTCCAGACTGAGCGTGTGATCGTTAACCGGCAGCAGTGAATCAATGCCCAACTCAATGCCCTGTATGTCGGTCACAAAGTCCAATTCATCGACGGCCAATGAATCGATGTCATCGATTGCCGTCATGTATGTGCTGCGATTTAGATATAGGAATTTAATGCAGTGCGTTGCCCCCACCCAGGACGCCGTGACCAGGATGGTGACACAAACACCGAAATACATTTTTTGTGCCAATTCGGAGCAGCAGGTCTCTCGACAGGCTTTAAGGCGGGGAAAACGAGTTGTTGCATTGTCATTTTGGCCAGCTTCGGTGGTGGGCGAGTCGGTATCGATGCCACCACTGGGGCCACCGGCACCTGTTGTTCCACCACCGCCGGCACCGCCACCACCTCTTGCCGCAGGAACTGTACAGGATGATTCAGGATGTATGGTAATAACTTCATTAGGATCTTGTTGGCTAGACGATATTGAGTCTTGGTGGGTTATTTGAGGATTGCTTGCATTGAGTATGTTGGTAAAGCCGCCTCCATATGGACCATTGGGCGAGTCGCCCGTTACCACAACGGAGGGCGTGCGAACACGATGCTGTTTGGGATTGAAGATAGCAGGTATTTCGCCGTCTCGCGTCATCCTCGGTTCGTTGCTGCTGCTATTGCTGCTGATGTTGTTGTTGACAACGTTAGTAGCCACCGTTGCTGTTGTGGGTTGTCGAACCGAATTTTCAAGAGAGTTCTGTTTATTGGAGATTTTTCAAACATATCGAGTGGATGTTGTGTTTCGACATTTAATCATTATGTTCGATAAGTGTGAGAAGAAATTGACTGAAAATAGAAGAGAGGAATACAGCATGTTATTTTATGTATTCAATTTTTAACGCATTTTCTTCAAAGGGACCTTGAAGACCTTTTGAAGGATTTCTATAGATAGAGATTCTTTTGAAGTTATTCTATTCTTTTGAAGTTATTCTTGAAGACCTTTTGAAGGACTGCTATAGACAGAGGATCTTTTGAAGTTATTCTATTCTTTTAAAGTTATTCTATAGACGGAAGACCTTGTGAAGGTCTTCTTTAGACAGAAGAACTTTTGAAGATCTTCTATAGACAGAAGATCTTGCGACAGTCTTCTATATACAGAAGACCTTGAAGGTCTTCTATTGACAGAATACTTTGAAGGTCGCCTTTAGACAGAAGGTCTTTTTTAGACAGAAGAACTTTTGAAGATCCTCTATAGAGTAAAAGCCATTTTAAGGTCTTCTCTAAACTGAATACCGTTTAAGGCCATCTGTCCAAAGAAGAAAAGAAGGTATTCTACAGATAGAAGACCTTTTATAAGATGGTCTTCTAGACATAGTAGACCTTTGAAGCATAGTTAAATACCTTCCGAAGATCTTTCATTAATGAAAGATTATTTGAAGTCTTCGATAAATTAAAGGTCGATATTATAGACAGAGATCTTCCAAAGCTCTTTAATTGAGAGGACATATTTCAAATGTCTTTCAAGGTGATTTAGATGACATCTTTCAAAAATCCGGAGTGGTCAAATTTTCAAGTTCTTTTCACAGCAGAACTTTTAATAGTCTCCTCTAGAGGACAGAATCTCTTTAAAAACATTCTTAGATAGAAAAAAGTTAAAAAGCAGTAAGTTCGGCCGGGCCGAACATTGAAAAGCCTCCACCATTTGTAACGAATTTGGAAATTTTCAAAGAAAAAATTAGAATCCGTTAAAAATCCTGTTAAAATCTTAAAAATACCTAATACAGGGAGTTACCGTTATTTTTAGGTAGGAAATTTTCTGTCACAGGCTGTAGTACCCGTTACGAACTGCAAATACGAAGTTCGAAACAATTGCGGTGAATAATTTCGCTAAAATTACAAAAATACCGAATATAGGGAGACCGCGTTATATTGGGGCTATGCGAAGATCTAGACTTGCATAGTCAATTTACCGAAACAGGCTGTAGTACCTATTAGGAACTTCAAATACGAAATTTGAAACAACTCCGGTGAATAATGTTGTTGAAATCAGGAATATAACGAATATAGGGAGGTATCGTTATATGGGGGTTACTCGAAGACGTGGACCTGCATAGGCAAATTTCTGTCACAGGCTGTAGTACCCGTTACGAACTGCAAATGCGAAATTTGAAACAATTTCGGAGAAAAATGCCTCAAAATACCGAGTATAGGGAGATACAGTTATAAAGAGGCTTTACGTAAACGTGGACATATATAGCCCAATACTTAAGGTTCTGCCGACCAAAGACACATCTGAGTAACATTTTTTCAATGTACTTCAATTTGTTCGGAAGCTAGAACGATTTTCACACACAGACAGAGGGATGAACATCTCTAAATCGACATAGAATTGTTTGTTGATCAAGAATATATACAGGGTTGCCCATATTCGACGGACCCATCTGGCAACGCCATAACTTTTGACAGAGATGTCACATCGCTTAATGACATATCGCGTTTGAAGCGTCAGTCCAAGCAGATTTTTACCATTAACCAATACACGCCACTAAATTTACATTCAACAGAAGAAGTCAATTGTGGAAAAAATGTGAGAAGTGCGCCTTCTAAAAACACCATTAAGCGTTTATACGAAAAATTTTCGACTGGTAAGGCTCTTTCTAGTCCGAAAAGGCCATATAAAAGTCAACCAAGGCGATCGGCCGAGAATATCGCTGCCGTACGAGCCAGTGTTGAAAGGTCCCCAAGAACATCCCAAAAACGCCGTTCTCAGCAGTTGGTCATGGCTCGGTCCACTTTACAACGGATTATTCGCATTGATTTGCATTTGTTCCCGTACAAAATTCAATTGACGCAAAGAATGTTGCCTGCGGACAAGCCTCGTCGATTGGAATGGGCCAAAGGGCCCAAAGGTCCGTCGAATATGGGTATACTTTGTGGGGTCTAAAATGTATATTACGAGGTGTTAGACACGGAATGACAAACTTAATATACCTTTCATACTATGGTGGAGGGTATAAAATTACCATTAAACGGTCTTCAATAGAAGAGAATGCCTTGGTACCGTTTACTATGGTACGGTCTTTTATAGAACAATAGATCTTAAAATGGTCTTTAATAAACATGTTAAATATTTTTGGGAGATCTCTTACAGGAGTTTTAAAGACGCAATGTCATTGAAAAGTCTTCTTACTGAAGATCCTCTATGGACAGAAACCCACTAAACGGCGTTAAGGTATTTTTTTAGACAAAGACCTTAAACATTTTTTTCTTTGACATCTTCACCCATCTCCACCATGGCGTATTAGTGAACCATCAAACATATCACCCATACGCACCCTTGTGCAACATTTAGCAAAATAAATTATTCAAAACGAAAATTGTAATTTGATTTGAAATGAAATGAAATGACCACGTTAGCATTAGCAAACAAGGCTATAACATGCACACAATTATTATTCCAATGCTCTTGGCATTGAAATCGGACGGATGTCATCATCTTTTATGGCTGGCTGTCGACTTCACAACAAGAAATCGAAAGACAAACAACTAAGCCAAACATCCATAACTAACAACAATGGCCACGTTTAATGGTCTCCATTATACACATCCAAACATCCATGAATTTGTCCATCCATCTACATAGTTATACGTAATCCTGTTGTGAGAGAGCCAATGAGTTTTTTTTTAATGTCTTGCCTCGGGTCAAAATGTTGGCCAGTTGTTGTTGTCGTTGCTTCGTTTCCATTTCTTGTCATGTTCAGAGTGGGTCATTTTTGTATGAATTATAAATAAATCGAGAATATTTATAAACTCATCTAACGAAGACTGTATAGACCGGAAACTAGATACAATGTTCGGGTTGAAGGTAAGACAAATGAATTGAAAATGATTTTTGGTGTAATTGGAATTGTAAATATAGAAAAGGGGAGGTCAGCAGGGAATGTAAAACATTCGAATGGGAGGTGTAAATGTTGTACATATGTAACAAGTAGATATTATATGCATACTCTGAAATTATGTTATCCTACACTACTATGCATATTTAGTAGAGCTATGCGTAACAAATAAACGTTTACATAAGGCATTTATGAGAAGTAGTACCAACTATGATATATTTTGAAGTCGTATTATGGCTCTAGATAAGTTATAATTTGAGACCTAAAGCAACTAATATATGGGAGGTACAATCTACTCTGAATCGATTTCCTCTAAATTTGACGGAGACATTTGTGTCTCTAAATTAAAACATATATATCGGAACTATAGCAATATTTTTACAAAATCCATTTGGCTTGGGCTGTTATTACACTTTTGTTGCACAATGCACGTGAAATTGAATATTCAGGATGACGAGAGCTTCTTTTCACTCGATGTGGTTTCCCTTTTCCCAAGCGTTCCAGTCGAACTAGCATTGAAAATAATAGAAGAAAAATGGAAAGACCTAGAACCAGTGACAAAAATCTCAAAGAGTTTATTCATAAAAATACTTAAATTTTGCATCTGTGATAACCGTTATTTTAGATATAAGAATAACTTTTATCAACAAAGGAAAGGTCTTCCCATGGGATCCGCAGCATCTCCGATAGTAGCCGATATTGTGATGGAAGAACTATTGGATAGATGTATGGAAATCTGTGATATTAGACCTAAGTTTCTGACAAAATACATTGACGACCTTTTTGGAATTACAAGTGCAATAAATAATTTACTGACAACATTCAATAGCTACGATCATCGCATTAAGTTTACTATAGAAAAAGAAAGTAATGGCCGACTTCCATACTTAGACTTATTAATAACAAGGAAAGAAAACACAATACGGACGAATTGGTACCAGAAACCTACGGCATCGGGGAGATTAGTCAATTTTCATTCGAAACACCCAAAGACAACAATAATGAACACTGCATCGAACTTTATCAATCGCGTGTTAAATATTAGCGACAAAGAATTTTATACAGAAAACATAAAGAAAATAACTTCAATATTGACTAAAAACTGTTTCCCTTTAAAAACTATAAATATTTTAATAAATCAATACTATAACAATAATAACAAGTAAAAAAGCTGTAAGTTCGGCCGGGCCGAACTTTTAATACCCTCCACCATTTAGTACAAATTTGGCAATTTCCAAAAAAAAAATAAAATAAATAAATAAATAAAATAAAAAAATCCTTTAAAAATTCTGTTAAAATCTTAAAAATACCGAATGTCTATACGACGACGTACACCTGCATAGGCAACTTTTGTCATAAGTTATTACAACATTTAAATGCGAAACTTGAAGAAAAATTTGTTTATAATGTAGCTAAAATCATCAAAATACCGAATATCGGGGGGTACGGTATATGGGGCCTATACGAAGACGTGGACATACATGGTCCATTTTCTGTTTTCTGCTGCAGTATCTATTACGAACTTCAAATACCAAATTTGGAACGGTTCCGTTAAATAATGTCGCTAAAATCATCAAAATACCGAATATCGGGGGGTACGGTATATGGGGGCTATACGAAGACGTGGACCTACATGGCCCATTTTCTGTTTTCTGCTGCAGTATCTATTACGAACTTTAAATACCAAATTTGGAACGGTTCCGTTAAATAATGTCGCTAAAATCATCAAAATACCGAATATCGGGGGGTACCGTTATATGGGGGCTATACGAAGACGTGGACCTACATGGCCCATTTTCTGTTTTCTGCTGCAGTATCTATTACGAACTTCAAATGCCAAATTTGAAACAATTCCGGTGAATAATGTCGCTAAAATCATCAAAATACCGAATATCGAGAGGTACCGTTATATGGGGGCTATATGAAAACTTGGACCTACATGACC